ATCTATATGGGATTGGCAAAAAATATTACATAAATTTTTAAATTACTTGTAAATACTTTAATGCAACAGTTCATAAATTCTAATAATTTTTAATAAATAAGTTATTACATTTATTCTAATAAACAAAGCTTTATACAAAAATAATTGAAGTAATATTGATATTCTAGCATCTTGTGAGTCTTAAATTCTGATTTAATTCAATTAGTAATAAAAATAAAAAGTAATCACCAATTATACAAGAAGCTGAAAAGATATTTTGGTTGTTTCATTAAATATAAAATGATTTTCCAGGTTACTTATTCGAATATTGAAGATTATATTAGAATCGATAACTTTTCACCTTTTTAATTTAACAGTTTTAAATTAAATGTTATTTTTAAAAAAATTTAGAATTGGTAAGTATTAAAAAGAAAATGGAAAATATTTTGAAAAATAATTATGAAAAGTTACAACATCTTAAATAATTGAAGCAAAATGAGAAAAATATCATTAAATCTAAATTATAGATATAATTCTCATGATATCCTTCAGATTTCATATATCCTTTATGATATTTTAACTTTGTTATCTAAAATTTAACTTTCTTTAGATTTGAATAATTGTAGTAAATCTTTACCTTATTCATTTACAAATTGTCCATTGAGAATCAAAGCACCTTAAGCTTAAAAAATAGGTGTTTAGCATAGTACATGAATAGTAATTCTTGTTGCGACTAAGATATATAAAAATAATTAATACTTTATGGAAATGTATTGTTTGAAAACAATGGACTTGGAAATTCTGCTAATTTAACGTTATAGAGTTTATCTGACAGAAGTATTTATTTGCCTGTCTAAACATTCCAATAACATATTGAATTATCTGAACTACCAGATGCTAATGTAGTACCATCAGGAGAAAAGCTTACTTAAATTACAGGATTGGTGTGACCATCTAATTTAGCTTTTAATTATCCTGTCTCAACATCCCATAAACGAATTTAGTTATCTAAACTGCCGGATGCTAATGTAGTACCATCAGGAGATAAGCATATCGAGCTGATTCTATTACTATTAGCATCCGCGGCAGCTTATTATTATCTTGTCTTAATATCCCATAAACGGATTTAATTATATGAACTTCCGGATGCTAATGTAGTACCATCAGGAGAAAAGCATACTGATCCAAAATATTCGTTTTAACCCTCTAATTTGGCTTTTTGTTATCCTGACTTGACATCCCATATAATGATATGCTTATCTCCACAACTAGATACTAATGTAGTAAAATCAGGTGAGAAGCAGACTGATTGGACTTAATGGCTATGACCAGCTAATTAGGCTCTTTATTATTCTGTTTTAACATTCCATAAACGGATAGTCTTATCTCTACTACCAGATGCTAATGTAGTGCCATCAGGAGAAAAGCAAATTGAGTTAACTCCATCACTATGACCAATCAATTTGGCTTATTATTATCCTGTCTTAACATCCCATATTAGGATTGATTTATCCGCACTTCCAGATGCTAATGTGGTACCATGAGGAGAAAAGCATATTGAGTTAACCCCATTACTATGACCATCCAAAATGGCTTATTATTATCCTGTCTTCATATCCCATAAACGGATTTAGTTATCCGCACTACCAGATGCTAATGTGGTAAAATCAGGAGAAAAGCATATTGAATTAACCCTATTACGATGACCATTCAATATGGCTTATTATTATCCTGTTTTAATATCCCATAAACGGATTGAGTTATCTGCACTACCAGATGCTAAGGTGTTACCATCAGGAGAAAAGCATATCGAGTTAACCCCATTACTATGACCATCCAATTTGGCTTATAATTATCCTGTCTTAGTATCCCATAAACGGATTGAGTTATCTGCACTACCGGACGCTAATGTGGTACCATCAGGAGAATAGCATATTGAGTTAACTCCATCACTAAGACCATTCAATTTGGCTTTTTATTTCCTTGTCTTAACATCCCATAAAAAAATTTAGTTATCTGCACTACCAGATGCTATTGTTTTACAATCAGAAGAAAAGCATACTGACTGGACATAATGTACATGACTTTCTAATATAACTTATTATTATCCTGTCTAAACATCCCATAAACGAATTGATTGATCATAACTACCAGATCCTAATGTTGTACCATCGAAAGAGAAGCATACAGATTGGACCCAATCACTGTGACCAACAAATTAGGCTTTTTTTTTTTTTGTTTTAACATCCCATAAACGAATTGAATTATCATTACTACCTGATGCTAATATAGTGCCATCAGGAGAAAAGCATATCGAGTTTACTCCACTATTATGACCATCAAGTTTAGCTTGTTATTAACCTGTCTTAACATCCCATATAAGGATTGAGTTATCTGCACTTCCAGACGCTAATGTAACACCATCAGGAGAAAAGCATATTGAGTTTACTCTACCACTATGACCATCTAATTTGGCTTTTTATTATCTTTTCTTCACATCCCAAAAACGGATTGAATTATCATTACTACCAGATGCTAATATATCGCCATTAGGAGAGTAGCATAATGAATTAACAGCGCTACTATGACCATCAAATTAGGCTTTTTTTTTTTTTGTTTTAACATCCCATAAACGAATTGAATTATCATTACTACCTGATACTAATATAGTGCCATCAGGAGAAAAGCATATTGAGTTTATTCCACCAACATGACCATCAAGTTTAGCTTTTTATTAACCTGTATTAACATCCCAAAAACGGATAGAATTATCAATACTACTAGATGCTAATGTAGCACCATCAGGAGATAAACAAATAGATTGAACATAATGAGTATCAATATCTTATTTAAATAGCTAAGTGATTTTTAATTTTTTCCATTAGCAATTAAATAATTATGCTCCATTTAGATTTATTCCACTTATATCAACATCGTCAAATTAAGATCCACTGAAATTGCATCTTACAAAATTGCCTCCTATTAAAGAAGTATTCTTGATCCTTATATTCTCAAAACATTGGTTCTACAGATCAACCTTCATACATACTAATAAATGTAGTCCGTTAGAACCAGATTAAATGAATTTTTCATCAATAGCTGTAAGGTGGACTAAAAATTTTAAAAACTCAATAATCTCCTTTTTTCCTCTAATCTTATTGATTAGATTTTAAATTGACTCTCTATAGTTTTCTTAAGAATAGTCATTTTCACTAAAGGGATCATTTAAAATTTTCCCTAAAGTATTATTTATTTTCATTATTTTTTTTTTAACATTGCTTTAATTCTTTGCCTTAATTGTTAAATATTTTTTAAGCTTTTATTTATAATTTTCTGAAAGAAATTCAAGTACATTCTGAATTTTCTCTTCTCTAAGTATTTCTATAATCTACTTGAATAATTATTAATCAACACCCTGGATCATGGCTAAAATTTCAAAAAAACCTTCTTCCCTTTATTAAACTCTGGGTGCTTTTTCTTATTCCAACAAAACTAATCTATAGTCTGGTTCAAATCCACAACCAAATTTCTAATTATAACAATACTTCTCTTTCTCAAAACCATAATTCATTGTATTTGAAAAAATTAATATTTCTATTACTCTAATATAGTTAATATAGTGGATTTTTAAATTTGCATAATTATATTTTGAAATTTTTTTTATATCATTACTATCTTTAAGATTTTTTTCAATTTTTCAGAATAATTTGATATCAATTCCTTTTTTCTAAAAAAATTTTCACAATAATAAGTTCATTTAATAAGTTTTATCATAATGCCTTTAGTTTTTTTTAGCTGATCACATGGATCAACGAGTTTTTTTGCTTGTGAATTAAATTAGACTGTTATTATAAAACTTAAAAAAAATCTAAATTTAATCCTATTTACCAGATGTTTATATGTACAATTAATTGAGATTAAAAAAATTAGACGATATAATGTTTTTGTGAATAGTAAAAAATCTTATAACTTATATTTAATTTTATTTATGTAATATATTTAATTACTTAACAAGATATATTTTTAAACAACTTAATAGGAATTATAACCTAAAGCAATTAAGTAAATACAACGTCCAGACCATAAAATAAAAAAAAAATAAGCTTAAATTTAAAAAATCAATCTTCTCATAATTTTCTAATTTTTATATCTTTATAAGATTAAATAATTTT